ATATATTACAACACTGACTCAGCAGTTGACTTTTAAAACAGTTTTCACACAGAATCTCATGTGGAGTTAATCCTTACCCTGGTATATGCCAAATGTGATGCAATAGAGAGAATTGAATTATGGGATTCTCTATATGCCATGGCAAGTGATATGACAACTCCATGGCTTGTTGGAGGAGATTTTAATGTGATTTGGGATGAGGAGGAGAAGTTTGGTGGTTTACCTGTGCATATTAATGAAGTTGATGATTTTAGGCATTGTATTAATACCTGCAACCTGTCAGATTTGGGCTTTAAAGGAAGTATTTACACCTGGTGGAATGGAAGATCAGATGAGGATTGCATTTTTAAAAGGTTAGATAGATGTTTGGGTAACAGTGAATTGCAGCACTCCTTTCCTGGTTTGCAGGTGACTCACTTATCAAAAACAGGATCTGATCATTGCCCATTGCTACTTAAATGTGATATTGAATCCCCTCCCATTAAGAAAGCATTTAGATTTCTTAATTTTTGGACAAAGCATGAATCTTTTCTAGATGTGGTGAAAGAAAACTGGACTGCAGATTTTAGTGCTAATCCATTTGTACTTTTCAATTTTAAATTGAAAAAACTTAAAAAAGCACTATCAGTCTGGAGTAGAGCTACTTATGGTGATATCTTCCAGAAGATTGCAAGTTTAGAGGAGTTAGTTTTGGTTCATGAAAGGCAATTTGAGATCAATCCTACTCAGATGAACAAACAAAGGCTGCATAAGGTTCAAGCTGAAATGATCAAGTATCTTGCCTTGGAGGAGGAGTTTTGGAGGCAGAAATCAGGCATGATGTGGTTTAAGGATGGTGACAGAAATACTAAATTTTTCCATGCACAAGTTAAAGGAAGAAGGAAGAGATTGAAGCTTACAAGGATTCAAAACAGTAGAGGTAATTGGATAGAAGAGGAAGATCTAATTGCAGAGGAGGCAGTAAATTTTTACAAGGACCAATTTTCAGAAAGGTCAATTCCTACTGACTTTAGTATTCTGGATCATGTGCCTTCTATGGTTACTACTGAACAGAATGAGAGGTTGATGGAACTTCCTACTGCACAAGAAGTAAAGAAAGCAGTCCTGGGATTGAATGGGGAATCTGCAGGTGGTCCTGATGGATTTACAGGGGCCTTTTATCATAAATGTTGGGATATTATTGAAGGTGATGTGGTGGATATGGTTAAAGCTTTCTTCTGTGGGCAACAACTTCCTAAGAGTGTGACTCATACAAATCTGGTTCTTTTACCAAAAAGGAAGGAGATTATGACCTTTGCAGACATGAGACCTATTAGTCTAAGCAATTTTGTCAACAAGATCTTTTCTAGAGTGATTCATGAGAGGTTGGTGGAAATGTTACCTAATCTAATATCAGAGGAGCAGGCAGGTTTTGTGAAAGGAAGAAGTATAGTTGAAAATGTTCTTCTAACTCAAGAAATCATCACTGATATAAGGCTTAGAACTAAGGCAGGTCCAAATGTGGTCATTAAGCTTGATATGGCAAAGGCATATGATAGGCTATCATGGCTTTTCCTAACAAAGATGTTGAGAAAACTGGGATTTTCTGAAGCTTTTATTGGTATGATATTTGATCTAGTTAGTAATAATTGGTATTCTATACTGATTAATGGTCAACCAAATGGTTTTTTCAAGTCATCTAGGGGTGTTAAACAAGGGGATCCTTTATCACCTACATTATTCATCCTAGCTGCAGAAGCTTTATCAAGAGGTCTGAATTCTCTACACTCTAGTTTATATTTTTGTGGATTTGGATTACCAAAGTGGAGCCCTAAAATAAACCATTTATCCTATGCTGATGATACCATAATTTTCTCTTCATCTGATGATACTTCTTTGAGGCTTGTTATGGAAATTTTACATGCATATGAGGCAGCTTCTGGACAGTTAGTTAATAAAGCAAAGTCTGCCATATACATGCATCATTTAACAGATTCTACAGTGGTTAGTAAGGTGGAAAGTATCACAGGTATAGGAAAGCAAGAGTTTCCTTTCACTTACTTAGGATGTCCAATTTTTTATGCAAGAAGGAGGATGGATTACTATGAAGGCTTGATCTCTAAGGTAATGGATAAACTACAATCATGGAAAGGCAAACTTCTTTCAGTAGGTGGCAGGGCTGTACTAATTACAAATGTACTTCAGAGTATGCCTGTTCACCTCTTGTCAGCAGTGAATCCCCCAAATTATGTCATCAATAGGTTGCATAAAATTTTTGCAAGATTCTTTTGGAACAGTAATGTTGGGGGAGTTTCTAGACATTGGGCTTTATGGGCTAACCTGTGTATGCCTTATGAAGAAGGAGGTATAGGTTTCAGATCTCTACATGATGTCTCTAAGGCTTTGTTCTGTAAATTGTGGTGGAATTTTAGGACAAAACCTAGTTTGTGGAGTTCCTTTATGAGTCAGAAATATTATAAGAAGCTTAATGCAGTAATTGTACCATGGAGGGAAGGTTCACATGTGTGGAGGAAGATGTTAGAATGTAGGGACTTGATTGAACATCAAATATATTGGAAGCCTAGGATGGGATCTGCTCTATTCTGGTATGATAACTAGACTGAGTTGGGAGCTTTATATTTTCTACTTCCTCCAAATTTTGCTATTGATGAGAATATTCAGAATGTTAATGATCTTATGCAAGAGGGCAGATGGAATGTAGAGAGAATTCATGAAATTTTACCACCAGACTTGGCACAACATATAGTGCAGAACATTAAGCCACCTATGGATCACAATGAATTAGACAAACCATTCTGGATGCTTGAAACAAGAGGTAACTTTTCAGTTAAGTCTGCATGGGAATACTTGAGAAGAAGAAATAATCCAAGCATTGCCTATAAGATGTTTTGGGTAAAAGGATTGCCTTTCAAGATTTCTTTTTTCATATGGAAGGTGTGGAAAGCCAAACTCCCACTAGATGACTTTATGAGAAGATTAGGATACTTCATGCCATCTAAATGTTGGTGTTGTGCAGACCCTAAGGAGGAGTCTTTAGGTCATCTATTCTTTACATCTAATGCAGCTAGAATTGTATGGAGATATTTCCTCAGGAGGGCAGGAATAGCAGTGGAAGGAATATCTTTACATCAGGCAATCACAAAATGTTGGATGGCTAAAGTAATTCCTAGATTGAAGCCAATAATGCAAGCTTTGCCAGCATGTATTGTTTGGGAGCTATGGAAGAGGAGAAACTCATTGAAATATGGGACTGCTGTGTCAGTAAGCAGGGTAATCTATCAAGTCTCATCTACTTTGCAGAATTTGGTGCAATCAAGAAAGCCAGGTTTACAGGTCCCACACAACTGGTCAGAACTATTACAAATGCTGGAGCAATATACACCAACACTAAAGCATGAGAAGGTGATATGGGAATTTCCACAAGTTGGTTGGATAAAGGTTAACACTGATGGAGCATGTAGAGGTAATCCTGGGAGAAGCTCTATAGGTTTTTGTTTGAGAGATGAAGCAGGAGAATTAAAATATGCACAGGGGAAGGAGATCAGAGAGGGTACAAATACTGAAGCTGAGGCAGCAGCAATTTTGGAGGCCTTGAGAATGTGTAGAGCCATGAATTTCAGTCAGGTTTGGTTGCAGACTGATTCCTTACTTTTGAAAAACATAATTGAGGGATTATGGAAGCCCCCCTGGTGTATTGTTGACCAGATAGAGGAAATACTGAGATTGAAAGGGGAGTTTAATTTCAGAATATCACATACATTCAGGGAAGGTAATCAGTTAGCAGATCATCTAGCAAATTATGCTTTG